TTTTTAAAAAAGGAAAAGAAAAACAGGCAGGAGAAATGGCTGGGTGAGTGAGTAAAGGTGACCAGCACCAAGCGTGATAACCCAAATTTGAATCCTGAGTTTGATCTTTGAGACCCACATGGTAAAGGAGACAACTGATTCCTAAGGGTTGTCCTCTGGCCTCCACACACATTATGGCACATGCGCACACACATACACAGGTGTGTGCAGACACACACACAGACAATAATAAATATCTAAACATAAATAGAAACCAAAAAAAAATCGGTTTGACAATTAACGTTTAAGATTTGGCAGAAGCCGAGTGTGGTGGCACACATCTTTAATACCAGCAGTTGGGAGGCAGGGGTAGGTGGATCTCTGTGAGATGGAGGCCAGCCTGGTCTGCATGTCAAGTTCCAAGCCAGGTGGGGCTATAGGTAGACCGTATCTCAAAAACAAAGTAAAAAAAAAAAATGGCAGAAAAAAATACTGTCCAATTTATATGAAGGTAACAGATTAAAAAAAAAACTACAACAGATTAAAGGATCCCTAAAGTCCTAACATTCTATGATTCTACAATTGCAAGAGTTTAAAACTATCCAACCTTGTGACCCTCCCCTCTCCACAGGAGTGAATCCTTTTAACAGTCAAGGTTCGGGAACATCCAGTTAACATCTTTTATTCATCTTGTGTCAGTAGATCCAAGAAGATGGTTTTCAAATCCCACCAGTGTGAGATTAGGCCCATCCCTACAAGGAGATAGCTTAAAACCAGTTAGGGTCATCTCATTGCATCTTTTCCACACAAGGAGGAGCTACAGCAGTGATTTGACTTTTGGAAATATTCCTAAATTTACTATATCATACTACAAAAGGAAAATCAGGACAGGACATGATGCAGCTCCAGAAAATGTAGAGCTTTCTGTTCGTAAACTGGCAGATTAGGAAAGAGGCCTACTCCAGGCATGGTGACACACCCCTGTAAGTTCAACGCCAACCTGATCTACATATCAAGTTCTAGGCTAGTCAGGACTGCATAGCAAGATCCTATTTAAAATATTTTATTATTTTTATGTGTATGAGTGTATTGCCTGCATGTGTTTAAGTGCACTCGTGTTATGCAATGCCCATGGAGGTCAGAAAAAGGCATCGGATTTCTCTGGCACTGGAGTTAAGAATGGTTCCCAGGACCATGTGGTTACTGAGAATCAAACCCAGGTCCTCTGCAAAAGCAGCCAGTGCTCTTAACTGCTGAGCCATCTCTCTAGCCCCCAAGACCCTAAAGTATTTTTTTTAAATAAAACTTAAAAAAGGCCCTGGGAAGGAGCTTTAACAGTGCCAAGCAAAGATGGCTTCCTGAGTAAGAATCCCACTTTGCTCTGGATGAAGGACTAGCTGATTTCTTCTAAGTCTCCAAGTGCCCATGTGTGCTAGACTGTGCCACCTCTGGTCTCAAAGTGGGACCTTATGCTCTGAGTCAGTATGGCACAATAACTCACAGAGCAGATAACACTGGGCAGCTACTGTGGCCGATGGAGGTGGAGCCATCTGCCAGCAGCCCCTGGTCTGTCCACTCCCAGGCAACAGCCCCTGGTCTGTCCACTCCCAGGCAGCAGCCCCTGGTCTGTCTCCTCTTGGGCTGGGTCCTTACTGTGCTTTTGCATTTTAGATCATTATCATAAAGCATCTGGTGGGGCTTGACATCAGAGAGGAAGTAAGCAGGGTTGGGGAGGCAGCTCAGTTTGTAGGATACTTGCCTGGCATGCACAAAGCCCTTGGGTTTGATCCTCACCACCACACAAAACCAGGTTTAATGGTTCATGCCTGGAATCCCAGCACTTGGGAAGTGTAAAGAGGAGGATCAGAAGTTTAAAGTTATCCTCAGCTATGGAGCAAATTCAAGGCCAGCTTGGGAGGAAGGTTGGGGAGGGAGTAATGGAATGGCAAGGGCACAAACATGGGATTATTTCTTGCAAAAGGGGCCATGCCACTGAAAGATGCTAATCCTGTGTGACTGTCACTTTCATGCTTCCTAGACATGGCTTTCCATGTGGTGGCTGCATATGGAGGCCAGGCACCTTTAAGTTCACTTTAGTAGAAATATATACTTAAAGAAAATAGTGGCCAAAAATTATTTTACACACATTCAATCATCTGGTTGACCCTCGGCTAACAAGTGTCACCACCAGATGTCACTAACTGAGTGCGTTCAATCACACCAGTGCCAAGTTGCATGATCAAATCACAGTTGCTAAGCCTTACTGCTCAACCAGTTAGGAGCTGGTTACAAATGAAGCACATCAGGATCTGCATCTAACAAGACCCCAGAGATTCCAGTGCACGTCAGAGTGAGAAGCTAGAGAGAATGGAAGACAGTGGGCCTCTCAGAAAGAGCTCAGACATGCACACCAGTGGTCAGATAACAGCTACACACATTGAGAATGGCTCAATGTAGCCACGGGACTGGAGAGGTCAGTCATCCA